GCTGGAATTACTCCAATCGTTGGTTCTATCTTGGTATAGAGGTTCCATAGATAGTTATGAAAGGTTGTAATGACGGGGTTGTACACGACATACATGAAAGTATATTTATTTTACTTAGTCTCATTTTTATTATCATGAAAGACGTCATGTGTAATTTTGAATTGGAAAATATTTTATCATTTAACTTGAAAATGTATATGATTTTCAAGGAGCTTCCGCAGTTAAATTAGTTTTCATGCATATGATTTGGGTGCATCACATGATTTGGTTCGCTCGGGTCGGGTAGTGTGCCGGGTGCCAGTAACATGGATTTTGGGTCATGACAGCAGTGGTACAAGAAGTTTGACTCATTCATGAAAAGTCAAACTTACACAAAGACATATTCTGATCCAAATGTATACTTCAAAAGATTTTCTAAAAATAACTTTATTATATTGTTGTTATATGTGGATGACATGTTAATTGTAGGAAAAGATAAGGGGTTGATCGCAAAGTTGAAAGGAGATTTGTCCAAGTCATTTGATATGAAGGACTTGGGCCCAGTACAACAAATTCTAGGTATGAAGATAGTTCGAGAGCGAACAAGCAGAAAGTTATGGCTATCTCAGGAGAAGTACATTGAACGTATACTGGAACGCTTCAACATGAAGGATGCTAAGCTAGTCAGCATACCTCTTGCTAGTCATCTAAAGTTGAGCAAGAAGATGTGTCCTACAATAGTGGAGGAGAAAGGGAACATGGCTAGAGTTCCTTATTCTTCAGCAGTCGGAAGCTTGATGTATGCAATGGTATGCACCAGACCTGATATTGCTCATGCAATTTGTGTTGTTAGCAGATTCCTTGAAAATCCTAGAAAGAAACATTGGGAAGCAGTCAAGTGGATACTCAGGTACTTGAGAGATACCACGAGAGATTGTTTGTGCTTTGGAGGATCTCATCCAATATTGAAGGGCTATACAGATGCTGATATGGCAGGTGACATTGATAACAGAAAATCTACTACTGGATATTTATTTATATTTTCAGGGGGAGCTATATCATGGCAGTCTAAATTGCAGAAATGTGTTGCACTTTCAACAACTGAAGCTGAAGCAGAGTACATTCCCGCTACAGAAGCTGGCAAGGAGATGGTATGGCTCAAGCAGTTTCTTCAAGAGCTGGAATTGCATCAAAAGGAGTATGTCATCTATTGTGACAGTCAAAGTGCAATAGACTTGAGCAAGAACTCCATGTACCATGCAAGAACAAAGCATAGAAATGTGATATATCATTGGATTCGTTAGCAGGTGGAGAACGAATCTTTACAGGTCAAAAAGATTCACACGAATGAAAATCCTGTTGATATGTTGTCCAAGGTGGTACCAAGAGACAAGTTCGAGCTATGCAAAGAACTTGTTGACATGCACTCAAACTAGAAGACAATGCTACCTCTTGATGAATGAGACCGGAGGGGGAGATTGATGGGGTCCATCTCATTCAATAGCCAAAGTAATAGGCATGTGCCTAAGGAAAATTTATTTGGGTTGGTAGCCAACTTTGTTGAATTTTTTTGGTTTGGTAGCCAACTTTATTGAATTTCTTTGGTTTGATAGCCAACTTTGTTAAATTTCTTTGGGTTGGTAGCCAACTTTGTTGAATTGTCAACATTGAAGAAAAAGAAGGAAAAGTGTGTGCAAATTATCAAATTTAGTAGGCTTTAGAGAGTGAGGCTTCGACTATAAAATGAGAGCTTCAACTCTCATTTCTACACACCAACAAAGAGAGAAAGAAAGAGTGAAGTTTCACAGACAAGGTATAAGAAAATAGTCTGTGAGAAAAATAGAGAGTGAGCGATATTGTAGTGAGGTGAGAATATCAAAAGAGGGTTTCTTTTGAGTGTTGTAGTGGCCTTTGGAGTATTTTACTCGGACCTACAAAGTGTAAAATTCATTGATATAGTGATATCAGTTGCTCGTCTCGGAGCCGTGATTTTTTCTCTTATTCAAAGGGGTTTCCACGTAAAAATCTTGGTGTCGTTGTCACTCTTTTATTCTTGTAAATTACTGTATCTCGATATTATGTGATTATTTTGCTTTTATTACTGTAAATATTATTTCTGCAGAGGATATATAAATTCAAGTTCACTAAACAATCAAAAAGTTAAAGCAATAAAAGGTGAAGCACAATGCTTAGTTTCCTTCGGAGTTCCACTTACCAAAAGGCATTTTCACCCCCCAAAAAAGAGTAAAAAATTTACATGACTATACGTGCATTATATGCTATAGGTTTGGAGGTCTCTGTTGAGGTGAATCAAGGTTTTAGAATCAGTGAGTTAATAAGCACAATTTAATTATATTGTATATCATGTTTTAATTTTTTTTATATGTATATATCGTTAGAGCAAGAAAAAAAATAATTTAACCGCCCCCAAGACTTTAAAATTTTCTGTATATTCTTTTGTGGATACTTTTTGGATGTCCTAGCATTATGTTTGAGAAATGGCTTCTTAAAATAATCCCAAAAAGGTTGGCACTTGACCGGGGCCTGCCGGAGGGTAAGGCTGCTCAAGCCATTGCCTTGGCCCCAAATTCTAGAGGCCCCAAAAATATTATACTATATTATTATATATTATATTTCTTATGCGAGTTCAAATTTTATTATTTGTTTATTTAGTTAAGAATGCACATATGAGTGAATAAAGAGCGATAAATCTCCTCTTGTTAGTAGTATATTTATTTTCCTTTTTCGTTCTAATTTTTTCTCCTTTCTTTCACATGACTTTGAGATTTCTCATTCCAATTTCAAACTCTGTTTCTTTGATTTAGCTACTTTCTCATGTTTAATTGACCCATTGATTAGAACAATAATCTTTTGTGTCTCACTATTACATGAATTTTGTGAAATAGGCCTCTTAATACAATTTGACTTTAGGCCACCAACTTCTTTGAGCCGCCGTGCACTTGCTCAAGTGCTTTTTCTCTTTAGAGTAGTTTAATTATAAGCTCTCTTTTTTAGTTTGTCTTTTGTCTTCTTCTAATTGTGTAAGAAAAGAAGTGACAGATTGTTTGAAGTTGAGTGATGTTTGCTCCTAAAAAAAGTATGTTAGGTTATTTTTGGTCCATCTTTTGTTTTATTTTATGATCTCTTCTTCAACTTTATCACTTTCACTATCCAATTGAGGACTGTGACTGTTGTTAGAAACCACTTCAAAGTAGATACGAATACATAGATGGAGACTCTTTTTAAAGTATATATGGCTCTACTTAAATTTCGTCATTTGCTTCTCTTTTAAAGTTGGATGGATTTGGACATATTGGTTTACGATTAATGTTACATGTCCACTATATATTAAAAGCTGTCTATCGCATTGATTTTTCAAAATGAAAACAACAGTAAGTCCAGTATAATTAGTCTCATAAGTGGAGTCTGAGAGGCAGGGGCAGACCCACGCTTAGGGGTGTTCAAAATCGAACCGTAACCATTAACCATTAATCAAACCGAATCGAACCGATGACTTATTGGTACCAGGTTATCGGGGTAATGGATGGTGAACGGATTGAGATTTTATAATTAACGGCTTAACGGTTTGGAAGCAGATTACTTATATTTCTTATCGAATAAACCGTTAAGAATCATTTAAATTTCTTGTATACATGTATTAACATATCAGCCTACTGTGTATTGTTGTGCATATGTGGAGGGTATTTCTCGCTATACTATTTCCCTCTTATTCTTGATTCTTATTTAAATAAAGTTTTACAGCATATTGTGAATAGTAATTAAATATTATCTATGTCACAACTTACAAGATTTAATCTCATTGAAAAATGCCTTTGAAAAACAAGTGAGGTCTATATAATTGCAATTCAAAGCATAATAATGAATCTTGCATATTTTTTACTCACCAAAGTATATGCATTATGATCTGAAACGAGGCTTTCACTTTTTATTGTTAGCCTCTTTTGAAAAATAAATGAGGTATGAGAAAGTAGTGTGTACGTATTCCTTAACCTTATCTTACGAAGGTAGAGAGTTTGTTTCCGATAAACCCTCGGTTCAGGAAAAATATCAAAATGTGATGCACATTATTGTATATGATAACTTGAATGCTTCAAGAGTCGATTCGATTTTGTTAAAAGGACTACATCACCTCATTTGGTGCATGTTGATGAATATATTTGTTGAAATGTCGCTTTTAGATTCATTAATTGGTTGGTTTTGCACATTATTGAAACCTAATTAGTTTGACTAGTTCCAATACCTTTGTGCTAAATGACATGCAATTGAACATCTTAAAGATGAATATTTATCACTTTTATTAAAGCCAATAGAGTAGTTAATACCTTGTTTCAAGACGCAAAACCAACAAAATTCTCCGTTGTCGTTGCGTTGGTCAAGTACTCATAGCAGAACAGAGAGCATAAATGACAATTATAATTGCAGAGTTCATGTCAATTCATTTATTAATTGTTTGGACAATCTTTGTGAAAATATTTATGCAAAAATATGTGTTTGATAATTGTGTTGCCTTTAGTGCTTTTTGAGTGTTTTATGAGTTTGAATAAGAACTTTTCTTTTAAAAAACAGCCACTTTTTTTATAAAAACTTAAATAAGCATGTTTTTCCAAAGATTTCTTTGTAGGATGTAGAAAAATTTCCAGTAGCCATTTCAGAAAATTTTGATTGGATTTTTTTTTTGTGGAATCAAAAATGTATTTGAATAGTTGTAACCTTTTCAAACAAAAAAACATGTGTTTTGTGAGTGCAAAGAATTCCTTTAAAAAATCTTTGAAAGGCACATTTAAACCACAACCTCGAAAACCAGTCTTTGCAAATAAGATTTTTTCTAGAAAGCCAGTCTAATGTTTGCCAAAGCTGTATAGACATATATTTTAGAAACTATGTTTGAAAAATAAATTTTAGAATGTAATAGTAATTTGATAGAAACAAATACCACTAATTTATTCAAAAACAATTTCCGCAATAGCGTATTTTTAAAAATCATTTCGTTGCAAACAATCGATTCCAATTTTTTTTTTAAAAAATCACATCCTTCTCTATGTTTACAAGGCTCCAATTGAAAATAAAAAACAACCAGAGCCAACTCCCAAATCGTATTTACCTCTATAAGATCTCTATATACTCTACTATTATGTGACCAATTTTAATTAGTTTGTATAAATATAAAGTAATTATTGGTAAAGAAAAAGGACGAGCCATAACTAAGAATCTTCATATTGGGCCTGGGCCTGAGGCCTCAGCCCAAGTTTCTCTTTTCACGATATGAATTCATTTTCTCTAATCGCCACTCATCTCGTAGCCGGGCAATGAAAGAGTCCGCTTTCGCGTTCACATCCGGGCTCGGGCAAGTAACCGACGGCCCGGTTAAATCTTCACCGTCCATTGCCTCCGAGGACGATCTAACGGACATTTCATCAACGTCAACTTCTTCAATTTCCGGCGAGCTGCAGCGAGAGCTGTGCTCGCTCCGTATCCTGAAAAAATCACTGGAAGGAACGAACTTCATCTCCCGCATTTTGAATAGCGGAGGAGGAGGAGGCGGCATTGGTATTAACGGCGATTGTGAGCCATTGTTCAAGTTATCGTCATAGTAACTAGTGACGTGTCTTGTTGGCAATGGAGGTTTGCTAGAATATGATGAACGTCGACGTGGAGGTTCCGGTTGTTGCAATGGTGGTTGAGAATGTGTTGAAGTTTTTCTCCGCCTTGATGACAAGTGTGTTTGCGGCGGCGGAGGAGGAGGAGGTGGAGGAGTTGATGATTTGAATCGCCTGTTTTTGGTTCCGTGTTTGAACAAATTGTTGAGAATTGAAGAAGGTGGTGGCGGCGGCGGAGGAGGCGGTGGAGGAGTTGATGATGATGTTTGTTGAAATCGTTTGCTTTTGCTGCCGGTTTTGAACAAATTGTTGAAAATTGAATTTGGAGGCGGCGGCGGAGGTGGAGGAGGCGGTGCTGCTGTTGCTGCAGTGGAAGGATCGGAATGTACACGTTTACTTTTCCTATTTTTCTTGAAAAGGTTTTGGAAAACCTTAGACGGCGGCGGAGGTGGTGGAGGAGGCGGCGGTGGCGGTGTTGGTGGTGGCAGGACTGATTCTGCAGATGGTGGAGAATCAGAGACGCTCTCAAAAATATCTTTCTTCTTTGTTCTCTTCTTTTTCTTCTTACCCTGATTGTACAATGAGGCAATAGCTGTGGCTAATTCCGTTGTACCACTCTTTCTCCGCTGAAGCTTTTGAGGCTTTTCCACCGGTGGTGATGGCTGCTCCGTTAGCGGCGGTGGTGTTGGTGGTGAAGGCTCTTGTTTTTTGTTGAGCTCAACTAGTACTTCAGCTTCATTACTCTGCATTTGAACCTTGTCCTTGCGCGGAACACTATGAAATGATCTTCTCCGTTTTAAATTTGCCGGTGGTGGCTTCGATGACGGCAACGGAGGTTTTTCTGGCGACGGACTCTGTTCAGGTGGAGATGAACGAGTTTCAAATGTATCCACAGGAATCACCTTAATATCAGATTCTTCCCTCTGCCTCTCGCTCCGCCGCGGACGGCGACTTTCATACTCCAGCGCTGCCGTAGAACGGTATAAATTCACTCCAAAATCATCAAAAAACCTGGACTGGTTCTCACCGGTTTCCCATTGCGGCACTTGTCTCAGATCAGGATACGAGCTGCTGCTTCTCCTTAACCGGTTAACACCAGTTTCCGGTAATCCAATTGGAGCAAAATTGTAAGCTTTCTCAACACTATGCTCAAACCATTGATCATTAGAAATAGACTGCCGCGTATCATCAGCTGAAGTCTCACTTGTTGAAACAATTCTATTTCTTTGATTGGCAGAAACAGTACCACTGTTATCAGCTGAATTGTCATCATTTTTGCGGGCAAAAACACCGCAAAGAATAGCAAAAACAACAAGCAAGATATTAAACGAATCCCATCCTTTTTTCACAGTATTAGGCCGAAGAATTTGAGTAGTGTGTGAAAGGAAAGGAGGAACCAAAAAGAACAAAATGAGAATAGTAAGAATGGGTAGAAGTAGAATTAGAATAACAGGGCTGATGAGAGGAGAGGGTGGTTGTCGGCGGCGTTGACGGAGGAGTGCGGTGGTGGGAGGTTGGGACCAGTAAGGTGGAGAGTCTCCATCCATTTCCATGGTTTTTAATTTTTGCTTTAGATGGGCAGAAGAGAAGGCTTTAAAAGCTTTTGGGAGGGAGAGGGTGGCCTTAATTAATGATGATTGATGATAGAATTTATAGATTAATGTTTTGGGTTAAATAAATATATTTATTGAACTCATTTGCTTTGAAATCTTGGCTGTGTGCACAAGTGCTTGGAGCCTTTATTAATCATTGGCATATATTATTTGTTTTTGACAAACCAAATACTAGTTAAGTTTTGGATAATTTAAAAAAAATAATACTATAAAAATTAAGAATTTGAGTTGTATTCTCTAAATAGTAATATTAATTTATAAATGAAATGCAAACTAGATATTCTTTTTTCTTTTTCTGTGTTGGCATGAGGTGGTAGTTAAATATATTTAAATGGTAAAATTATTCGTAAACTGATTCGAACTTTACCATTCTCATAAAAAATATTTAACATAAAAGTAATGCTACCAATTTTCGGATCATGAACAGTGAACAAATGATCTACAAGCGCTTTGCTATATTTTTATACGAATTACGCAATTTTGAACCATATATGTAACGTTGAACATAAACTTTTGTAATGCGACTACATTGTATATCATAATAAAGTTTATATAACTGATGTTGATGACTACGTATTATAACAACGAACCAAAGAAGACTACAATTTAATTTAGCAATGCACATCAAAACGTAGTTTCATCTCCATTACATTTTGCAGATCATTAAATAAAATATTTTCCGAGGATCAAACAACCTTTCTATCTTTTTAAGTTAAAGGTTGGTTGTGTGTACACCCAGTCCTTCTTAAATCTCAGTTATAAAATTAACTGGGTGTATTGTTATTATTGTTGTATTAANCTGAAATTGTTTTAAAAGTAGGTACAAGTTAAAAGTTTTTAAAAAAATGGGTATAGGTTAAATGGGGGCGACCAAATAGGGACGCCCCATGCAATTTTTACCAAGTAAGGCTAGTGCCTTAGGCTCCAAATTTGGGCCTCCATTTTTTAGCAATAATAGGTTTATAAGTATTTAAAAAAAAATATTTAGTACTTATAATATAAAACTAGAGTTTTTCTATAAAAAAAATGCTTCAAAGAAAAGAAGTTTTTCATAATTATACTCCATTGATAATACCTAAGATCAACAATATCTCATGAAAGATTAAATAAGTTCGCTATATTATCAATCGAAAACAAATTATAGAGGAAATCGACTATAAAAAAATTATTAACAACTTTTCATCTTAAAAAACTAGAAAAATGGACTTCAAATAAAGATACATATCATAACTTTCTTTTAAAAAATTAGGTCTCACATTACTTTTTGGCTTTAGGCCACACATGCGCTTGAGCCGCCCTGCCACAACGGGTTTAATCATATCATTTCATTCTAAAAGAAGGAAAGAAATTGACCATTCCATATGTCCTTCCTTGAAAAGTTGTTGGTTTAAACTTTAAAGCTTCGTTAGGTTACCTGATAATCCGTTTAAGCATGCAGCCTCCGCCTAATGTCCCTTGCAATCTACACTAAACTAAATTCTAGCAAAAGAAAGAAAAAAAATCTTAACTTTTGCTCAAATATTATGCATAAATATTTTCTTATTTATTTCCCAACTTCTAATACCACAACACATATTGTGTACAAAGAAGATTCAATTGAATTTCCTTAATCTGAAAAGTTAGCGTTAATATGATAAAACTAGATTTTTACGCATGTATAAAATTTTGAATCCCATAAAATCAGAAAATGCAGGTTCAAATTACAGGCGTGACATTTTTTAATGATTTGAATCTCCTTATCAAAATTTCTAGCTCCACTGCTGATGAAATTCCTCCACCCTTAGCGAGAGATCTTGAGATTTTGATAAGAGGCATCTCCCCTCGAACTAAGTCCAATGCAGCACGAATTTAATTAGCTGGATGACCAGTGGCAGAGGTAGGATTTTCGCTAAAGGAGATTTAAATAAGAAAAGGTTAAAAAAAATTAAAAAAGATTATGACCAATAAAAATTGAACTAATGACCTCACAAAAATTTTAAACCCGGTTAACCAATAAGCGTGATCAGATCAGTGGGAGCCCTTATTCCCGGGAGGAATAGGTATGTGGTACTCTTATTACAGTCAATAAACAGAAATAGTTAGTTGAGGTCAAGAATAATTTGAGAATGGAGCGTGGCTATAATGATTGAAGTTCCAAAACTTTTTAACATGAAAAATACCAAAGGACACCTTTAAATCAAGTAATTGATCTGCTCGAACTTTGTCTAAATAATGAAGAAAAGGACACCCCTTTTGGTCCCCTCTTCACTTTTACCTATCAACACTATACAAGTTACTCTAAAAATAATAGTTGTAAAAAAATAATAATAATAATAATAAAATAATATATATATATATATATATATATATATATATATATATATATTTTTTTTTGTACTTATAAAAATAATATATAAATTTTATACACATTTATAGCTATTGAATATAAATAATTTGGTCAGTGAGCTAAAACTGATTTTTGCCCTTCATATTTCAACCATTGCCCCAGCTCATTACACTTTCAGTAAAATATTTGCCATATATATAGTTCTTCCTTTTACTTTTTCCATCTTAATCCGCATTTTATCCTACCATGCATCCTAGATCTTTTTTCAACTATTCTAGCTGTATGAACCGTTCCAAATCCATTTCATGGTAGATCATATAATATAATCCTTTGGTCCTATTTTACGTGAGACACATTTTTCGTTTTAATTTGTCCCGAAAAGAGTAATATTTTTCTTATTATACCATCTTATTTTACTGTTGTTATTGCTTGTTATTACTGTTTGTTATTCTTCTGTCCTTTAGTCAAGCTAAGGTCTATCGAAAACAGTATCTACCTTAACAAGGTAGGAATACAGTCTGTGTACACACTACCTTCCTCTGATGACACTTGTGAGATTACGCTAAATTTGTTGTTATTGTTGTTATTTATTTAAACTCACTTAATATAAAAGTTTATTCTTTTACTATGAGAGAAAATAAAACGGAATGTGAAACTCTCACCACCCTTTATTTAATTATTGATAGTAAGAGCAATTTTGATACTTTGTAATGTCAAAAGTCTTTTTATATATTATATAAAAGTCTTCTTTTATTTCTTAAATATTGTTAAATCAAATCTTTTATTACATAAATTGAGATGAAAGGAATAAAATAAATTGCAATCATTCATGTATCAAAATTAGAGCATGATGAATGTAAAGTGTAATACTGTAATCCATTATAAGATTGAATCTTGAGGCGTTTACAAGTCCATTTTTAGTACTTAGGTTAAATCTTATAAGATTCACTTTTTTCCTGATAATACATTAAAAATTGTTCAATTGGTGCGACTACTCTTCGTTAATTTCAATAACTTGTTCTTTGATTGAGCCGTGGAAACAATCTCTTGCAAAAATACAGGATAAGGTTGCGTACGATAGACCCTTGTGATCCGGCCCTTCCCCGGATCCCGCGCATAGCGGGAGCTTAGTGCACCGGGTTGTTTGATTATACCTGTGAACATATATATAGAGGGACAAAAATCTTTTTCCGTGGGTGGGAACTTGTAACGCAACTTGAAATTAAGTGTTTTAACTTTTAACAAATAATATTACCATTTAATTCTGCTTTTAATGCTGTATAGATATGCAGCTCATCAAAGAACTGCCAAAGTACTTTTTTTTCCCTTTAAAGATTTGCACTTTTGCTTTTATAGATAGAATTTTTACAATTCCACCTTTTCGAGTTAGTGCAGCAATGTTCATGCACATTTTTCGGCGTTTTCCTTAATAAAGTATTTCCACCATATTTGATAAACCAGAATTTTACCTTTATAAAGCGTACTTAAAAGATTTGAAAGAAAAAATAAATTAAAGTACTATACTAGTTCAAAGATGTTACCTGGTTCCATTTTTTTGCATGCATATACTAATAAAATGCATGTGGCCTCGTGCATAACAGTTGTTGATCCTGAAAATCATGCGCACGAAGGAAAAATTGGCAATGAAAAGGAGAAAATATTATGAAACGCTCGTGGAATGTACAAAATCATATGGTCATGTTATACTATTTTTTAGACGTCATTCAAAAGCCAGAAAAAAAAAAAGTAATCCGGTGCAAAAAGCAATTCACATTCACGCAGGATACGGGGAAGTGCCGTACCCCAAGGATGTGATATAAACAATCTACCATAATGCAAGCATTAGCGATAGTGACTGCTTTCACGGCTCGAACTCGTGACCTATAGATTACATGTTAATAAATTTATCGTTACTCCAAGGCTCCCCTTCTTTCAAAAGGCCAAAATTTCCATATTTATTGTTGAATGACCATCCCTATATAGCATTTGGATGTGTTTCGAGATTTTTTTTTTTTTTTTGGTCAAAATAGAACTTAATATAGAAAATTGAAAAGAGCTTGTAAGAAATGTTTGTTAGTTGAAGAGAAAAATATCGGCTTCTTCTGATCAACGGACAAAAGTTGGTGCATATATGCATTACGTACTTAGATGTGTGTCATGTAATTGAAAGAGAATGAGATGTATATAGGATAATAAGAATGATGAAAACGAGAGTGCAATACAAATATACAAGAAATAAAGAACAAAACTTGCATGGTTCGTACAAAAGAAAAAGGAAAGAAGAGAAGAACTAATACGATGCATAAAATGTGTGGATTTACTTTTTATTTTAATTTTACGGGCGTTAATTTAATCGAATGAATCCGTCTTGGGCCTAAACAAATTGCATGAATTGTATTTGTAATTTAACTTACGAGAAAAGAAGTATTACTAGAGAGAGAAAGGTATAAATGGCTCGTTTGGTACGAGAGATAAGGAAAATAAATCTCGAAATTAAATTTGAGATGAGTTTATCCCATGTTTGCTTGGGATAAAATCGTGGTATAACTAATCCCGGAATTAAATTTGAGATGAGTTTTTCCATGTTTGGTTGGGATTAAATCGTGGTATAACTAATCCCGGGATTAGTTATCCCGAGATTATATATTTTTTACCCCTATGGGAGGATGAGATAACTAATCCTGGGATAATTAATCAGGTACAATCGTGAGATATC